GAGTAAGAGCACTTTGCTGACGATCTGGATTGCATCAGATCCTCGAGCCCCTTATCACCGGAAACAGGCATTTGATGTGGGAGATGTTGGCTTTGGTCTCAATGCTAACCAGTTGACGCTTGGATGTGATTGCCTGGGTCACATCAAATACTTTGACGGCTATCGAACGGATTCAAAAGGTAATCCTGTCCTTTTGAAAAACATCATCTGCATGCATGAACAGGACAATGGCCTTCAACACAAACATACCAACTACCGATCGGGTGCTGCGACTGTTGTGCGAAACCGCCAGCTGGTCCTTCAGATGATTTGCACTGTTGCAAATTACGAGTACATCTTTGCATACATCTTTGACCAAGCTGCCAATGTTGAACTTGAGGTCCGAGCCACCGGTATCTTATCGACCGTCCCCTTTGACAATGAGAATGGCGAAACAGTCGCTTGGGGCACAAACGTCGGTCCTGGAGTCATGGCTCCTTTCCATCAACATATGTTTTCTCTGCGGATTGATCCGGCAATAGATGGTTTCAAGAATACCGTCTACTATGAGGATAGCGTACCACTCCCTGAAGATGACAAGAATCCTTACCTTGTTGGTTATACTACCGAGCAGACGGTCATCCGCAAGTCCGGCTCAGCTAACACCGACATTAACCGCCATCGAGTTTTCAAGATCCGCAACGATAATATCATCAACCCTGTGACCTATAAGCCCGTGGCATACAAACTCCAAACGGCACCCAGCCAGATGCTCTTGTTGAGCAAAAACGCAATGGGTTACCGACGGGCAGAGTTCGCCAGTAAACCCATCTGGGTCACCAAGTACAACGACGACGAGCTGTACGGCGCAGGCGAGTTCACCAACCAGAGCAGACGAGCAGAAGGTGTGGAGACCTGGGTCCAAAGGAACGATTCGACTGAGAACGAGGATGTGGTTCTCTGGCATAGTAAGTTCCCTCGAGCCGTATGGGCCTCACAGCCAGGACTGACAACTTCGGCAGCGTTCGGCCTCACCCATAACCCCCGTATCGAAGACTTCCCCGTGATGCCTATGGAGCGAATCAGCGTCATGCTGAAACCCGATGGTTTCTTCACGAAGAATCCGGCCCTGGATGTGCCCCCATCAACTCAGTCTTTCAACAAATCCACCCTCCATCCTGAGCCCGCTCCCGTTGCAGCATGCTGCTCCAGTGCAGGTGCTAGTGCCAAGGCAAAGCTTTACAAGCGCCTTGAATAATTCCATCGATAATTGGGCCGGTTGTCTGATACATCGCACTTGGATAGGTCGTTTGGGATGGATAGATGTAGCATTTATTGGCGTTGTCATAGTTGATTAGCGTCTGGTTCAGCAATCTCATACACCTCATTCAATACATTAATTTCTTCGAGACTGCTATTTTGAGATATTTCGACCCACGGTAAATCAGAAATGACAATCAAGGTCGAGACTATCATCATGCATCATGACCTCTATTTTTCATTACCATATGTCTTCTGACATTAGACATACACCGCTCTCTCGCTCATCCGAGACCGAAAGAGTTATATAGATTGGATCCATCGTACATAAGACAGTCGCCATTGCAATCATACATTCCTACCATACCGTGACCGAGACCACTCACTCCGACTCTTGCTTCCCGCCGGTCCTGTATCACTGGGCCAGCTTCCTCCCTTGTCGCCTGAATTCCTTCCATAACCTGTGCACATGACATGATTTCAACGCATGACATCATGTTCCATCACGCCATAAACCACTGGGCACAATTCGTAGGTTTACTCCTTGTTAACGGTAGGGACATGGGCCTTGGGGAGAGCGCCGTGGCCCACGTTGTCGATGGCGGCCTGGCGGGCGCCCTTGAGGCCGTATTGGGAGTCAATGCCCTCAATACGGTGGGTGGAGTTGATATTCTTGACGAGGGTCAGCTGCCAGCAGGTAGCGCTTCCCTGGCGGGAGATGATGGTCGAGTAGGCCAGGAAGTACTCCCAGATCTAAGGTAACGGAAAGCCATCGAGTCAGTCGTGCTCAAAGTGTATAATGAATTGCGGGAAAACTGGCCGTCAAGGGGACTTACTCTAAACCATCTCTTGCCGTACTTTGCCTCGACCTTCTCGCGGTTACCCATCCAGTTGCGGTACCAGCGCCAAAGAGTAGCAGAGTAGTGGACACCAACGGTATCAACGCTCTTGATTTCAAAACCAGCGCCCTCCAGTTTATCGACGACGAATCCAAGAGGAGTGCTGGCGTCAGCTCCGGGGAAGATGTACTTGTTCATGAACAGACCCCAGATGAGATCCTCATACTGCCAGGATTTACGGAGACCAGCGATCTGGAGGAAGAATACGCCATCATCATCAAGCATTTCATAAACTTGAGACAGGAAGGAACCGAAGTGGCGGACACCGACGTGCTCTGCCATCTCGAGACAAGTGATCTTCTTGTAACCACCCTCGACGCGGGGAGCATCACGGTAGTCCAAGCAGAGAATACGGCTCTGAGATTCGGGGATGCCGGCGTTGCGGAGACCTTTGTTACCCCAGGCAGTCTGGTTACGACCGAGAGTGATACCGGTGACGTGTGCGCCATAGTGGACTGAAGCATATTTGGCGAGAGTACCCCAACCACAACCCAGGTCGAGAAGAGTGTCACCAGGCTTAACATTGATTTTCTCACAGACAACAGCCAGCTTGTTATCCTGGAGTTCTTCCAGAGTCTCTTCCTTGTTAATGTCACTAATGATGCCGGAGGTGTAGATCATCCGAGGGCCCAGGAACCAAGCGTAGAAGTCGTCACCACGGTCATAGTGGTCGCGCACCTGTTCCTCGTCTGCAGATCACTGTAGTCAGAAACCATGAACTTCATGCAATCATCTGGGCAGAATAGGGAAGGGAAAGCCATTTTACCTTGAGAACGGGAGTGAACCAGCAATTCAGGAATGAAGCCGAAGAGGAAGTGCTTGTAGAGGCCCATGGTGAAGCGGAAGTTGGCCCAGTCATGTCTGAACTCCAGAGCTTCGAGAGCGTCGCCCTTGAAATCAACCTCTCCATTGAAGTACTTTTCGTAGAAAACCTCCATGGGAATCTTGCTCTTTCCGCGGTAGGTGGCACGGTCATGCTCGCTGTGGAAATGAAGGTAGTGCTCGACGGGGCGACCAGCATACTTGGCCTTCTCGTTCTTGCGAGGAGAAATGGAAGAAGCCACGGACCAGAAGGCCATCAGGATGGGGACGGTCGTGAAGATCGCGAAGAAGATAGTGGTGTAGAAACCACCACCGACCTGGCGAGCCAAGTACCACGGAACGAATAGCAGCAGAGAGAAAAGCAGGATGTTGGAGAAACTATCGCTACCTGCAGCGTCTGCGGGGACGGGAGCATTTTTGATAGCCGGGTACTGAAAGAGTGAAAGAGAAGGAGTTAGCCTTTGCCTCTTATGAAGACGCTTTATAAAGCTCTAAAAGAGCTTTGAAGAGCCCAGGTAAGTTGTTGTCTGCTCAATTGAGCACCTCGACTTACCGACGTCGTCCGCACACCACAATCATCTGCGGGGGTAGTGCAAGAAGCAGGGGGCGTTTCAATGTACTCGAAGTCCTCAGGGGACTCGGGATGAATTTTCGTCATGGCTGGGTCGACGATTGCACGGAAGGAGTGAGGTGGGATGGAAGGAGACCAAAGCAGGTCAGTGTCCCAATTCTAGGAATAGTTGACACGACAGATGTTCTGTGGTGACAAGAAAGAGAATCACAGATAAGTGGGGGAAAAAGGAAGAAGAAGAAGCCACAAGGGCAGAAAAGAAAAGAGATCAACAACAATTGATGTTGATGAAGAACAGGAGCAGTCGGTTTATCGGTGATGAGGAATTGACGCGGTGCCAACAAGCCTAGTGGTCTTTAGGTTCCTAGCAAGTTAGCAGCAGCAGTAGTCGACCTGACGAGCTTGTCCCTCGATTCCCTGCTCGGATTGATTATTATTAGTAGACCCGTAGACCCGTAGTATTATTAGTAGCTTGTATCAACAAAATCAAGTGGAACCCGCGCGGGATGGTAGTTCCTCTTCAAAGGGGGGGCGGTGAGCATACGTATATAGGAAGAATTATGTATGATCTTTAATCAAGAAGAATCGACACCAGTGCAATAGTACTGTAGTCTCAGGAAATGGAATTGAAGCCAATTGCATTGTCATATGCTAGTAAAAGTTGGCAATGATCATGATGTCTGTAGTGGGATCAACTACTTGATAATAATACTGCCTGGCACGGCAGTTTAACCCAATGGTTTACTCTAGCAATCCACAATGATCCCTAAGAACATAGGGCCACTATGAAGATGATGATGAGCATAAATCATCGCCATACTACCACACCCCTCTTCTGACATTTGTTAACAACTGTGTCGAAGATCAATTCATATGCATCCGCAATTCCAATGCCATACTGTATTATTGACAATACCTACGTACCCGAGGAGTCCTCGGATGCCGAGAAATCTGGATCGTCCGTCCCTCAATGCATCCAAGGTTGCAGCGAGACCCGGCAATCTGCGTGAGTGCGTGTCCCGCTCTCTTTGGCTAATGATTGTTTACGCTTTCATAGGATTCATTTCCCACTCCACTGAGTTCCGGACCTACGACCTCGTAGGCTTATACGATAGTCTACTGGATGCTTTATGACCTAGAGACCCCGAATCATATATGGATTTGTACCGCAAATATGAATGATCGAATTGCTACCCCCTACACCTCGGAAAACTATCCATAAAAAAAGCTAAATCATACAAAAAATACCCGTTGTGAACCACGAACCCTCGTACCGTTATCATAAAGGAAAAAGAAAAGATCAAGGACGCCGTTTCCATTCCAGTCGGTTTGCCCTAGTGTGATCTTGCTATTCATGCACGCCGACCATTCCAATCCCTGAAAAGCAAAGACGAGTAGAAAAGTGAAAGACTCCCTTAGAATAAGACTCCTGAATCATGGCCCTGGGATGTGGTTGGTGTCGTCCAAACTCAAAGCGTGAGCTGGAAATTCTGCGCCTCTTCGTCTTCCCCAAAGGTCGGGAGATTTCTTTCAGCTTCGGCCGCCAGTCGATCCTCCTCGCTATCAAAACAGCCTGCAGCCTTGCAGCGGTACCACATCTCCGAACCCAGCGGAGGCATTCCGTACAATTCAATGTATGTTTCAGGCGACAGGACGGACTTAGACACCGACCTTTCCGCCGTAGTTGACGTCTTTCCATGCAATTTGGAGGACATAGTCCGGCCCTTTGAATAGCCCAGGGTCGTCTTGGAGTTGGCAGTGGCCGCAGCGTGGCGCATGGAGGACAGATTGCTCGGCACTCGGGGCCTCCTAGCCGTCAACAGAGATGATGCGACTCTCGGTCTCGGTTTTGACATGGCCGCTGGCCTGGCTCGTGCACCGGAGGGCTCAATCCTGGACAGAGCGACAGCTGCATCGCGAGCACGAACAGTCGAGATATTGCTGGTATACTTGGGCTTAGTCGTGGTCAATTTAGCACGACGCACCTCGAGGCGTCGTTTAGGTACCTCTTCCACATGAGGCTCGCTAGGCGGGTCCAATTCGGTCTTATCCTCGAATCCAATCTCTTCAAGCTGCTTCAATATCATTTCGTCCACCTTTTTGTCAAACGCAGCAGAATCCTCCTGGAATTTGCGCTGTCGTGGGGTAAGACCATCCTCTCCAACTTGATTGTCTCCGTACACACTTTCCAATCCCAAGGCTAAATTCTTGGGTTGAAATTGAGGGAAAGTGGTGTCATAAGTAATGTCGTCTGGGATATCCGGGAGCTCTACAAGCATGTTAGACAAGGTAAAACCTCTCCGACTGAAGGCCGTTATGAGCCCATTATGCATCTCACCTCTCGGTTTGGGGGGCATATATTCAATATCGGGCACATCATCCTGAGTCTCTTCACCCTGCACCTCAAGCTTGGGCTGGTCAACTAGTGGCGAGAATTTCCTGATCTTTTGGGCAGAGGTTCTCTTGTTCATCTTCTCGGGCTTGATAGTGCCTGCCGGGGCTGCTGGGGTGTGTACGCCTTTCGCCTTTGCATTAGTTGTTTTCATGCCAAGAGGTGCACGATTGCGAGGTTCTATTGCCAGTGTTTCGTTAGCGTTCTCGATCCTCTCGCTGCGCTCTCTCATCTGCATACCCAGCGGAGTGACAAAGGCATCCTTGGTGGGTTTTGTGTTCTCCTTTTGCTTGCCGACAGCCTTTGCTGTTTTCTTTCCGAATGCCAAAGGGTCATTTTCGTCGTTCAATGGCACTTTGAAGGGCGTCTTCGGTGCGCGAGCTCCTGGGGTTCGCGGTTGCAACTGCTTCACGCCTTGGTTCAAGGGTTTAGCTGCAGCGACAGTCTGGTGAGTATGCACCAGGTTTTCCTGGTCACGAAGAGCCAGCATGGCAATGTATGGTTGTCGCTAATACTCATTCAAGTCGAGGTGGGCGTCTATGCGTCGTGGTGATGATAAGTCGCTAGCTAAGATAGTTTAAGGTAAGGCAGTTCTAGATGCAGGACGCATCTAGTTGTTTTTTCTTGGCGGTTGCCCGTGGAGACCAAGAGGGGCTTTCCTTGGGACGAGTCGGAAGGCATCCTTGGGTATGGCAGGTGGCCTGAGTGCCTGAGGCCTCAAGGACAACATCTGCCACTAATGAGCGCGCCCCCTTGCGCCTCAGGCTGCCAAGCCACAGAACATCAATACTTAAAAAAAAACGGGGCTAGTCTATTTTTGTCCAGGTGTTTTGTTGGCTGACCGCCAAACGGGCAGCCCTCCTCCACTTCTTAGGCCTTATTATTCCTCTCCCGAGATCCCCAATCCCCAAACCACATCCCTCCAATTCGTGCCTCCTTGTTGTTCACTTTCCCACCTGGTTTCTCGCTGAGCGAAAGCCTTTCTGCCTTCGAACCGACTCTATTTTCTCTGATACATATTTTTTGTCGTTGCAAATAAGCTATTTCGTTGCCAAAATGGATAAGATTAAGGAGGTGAGCTTCTCCCCTAATCCCTGTTGGCGGGGTAGCTTGAAAGCTGTCGAGAAACGCAAATGCACCCCTTTTCGCCCTTGCTTCATGTATCCTATCTTGCAGCAAACCTTCTTGAAGTAGAGTACCGGGCGAGCAAATACGATAGTCTGAACAAATGATATTCTAGACGGAAAGGTTGAGACTGACACGGAGATGTTTCTTTTAGAGAATGAACGCCCTCCGCCTCGAGGCTGATGAGGCCCAGAACAAGGTGGAAGAACTCAAGAATAAAGTGAAGACCTTGGAACAAGAGAATCTGGCAAAGGAACAGGAGATCACATCCCTCAACCACCGGAACCAGCTTTTGGAGGGTGAGGTTGAGAAGCTCGAGGCTGCGCTTAAGGAGGCCAAGGAGTCTGCCAACCAGAGTGCTCAGCACGACACTCAGAACGAGGCCCTTCAGAGACGGGTGCAGTTGCTGGAAGAAGAGGCCGAGGAAGCTGACCGGAATCTGCGGGAGACAAACGAGAAGTATGACTTGGCCAAATCCTGCCATATTCACTAGAACATCGATTTTGCTGACTCTCGGATGCTAGACTTCGCCAAACCGACGTCAAGGCTGGCCATTACGAACGCAAGGTGCAGGCTCTCGAAGCCTCTCGTGATCAGTGGGAGAGCAAGTATGAGGAGATGGCCAAGAAGTATGCTGAATTGCAGAAGGATCTCCACGACCTGGAGGTCTCTATCAGCAACGTGTAAAGATAATCTCGCACATCGGCGTACACTTCGGGTAGATATTGGATCCAGCCTTTGTTCCAACGGGTATCACTTTTATTCGCAAATCACAGCCTTCCTTGCTATTCTCTTTCTCGGCAGGAGCCAATTCAGTAGGTTCTCTTTCGCCATTGTCGTCTCATATTCGAGTATCGGCTCGTCTTTGCAGCTTGGACCCCTTTCCTGTCCTTTACATATATTCATTGTTTGACGTACATAGAGCATATTTAATGGAAGTGTCACTGTGATATTTTAGCCTTGCTCGACGCATTTTTTCACGAATCTAACTCGGAAATCGCTAATCATCGTTCTCGCCGAGCCTTGGCCTTTTTCGATTTGGCTTGCCGCTGCTTCATAAGAGTAACTTTGCGCTCCTCCTTGCTTTCGTATCGGAACTTCTTTTTCTTCTTTTTTGGTTTGTTGTTCTCATTCGTTGTCTTCTTCTCGGCTGAATTTGTGGATTTGACAACGGCTTCCGACCTTCGTTTCGTTTGCTCATCTTCATCCTCATCGGACCTGTCGCCCTCTTCCGCCCTGAGTAAGCCTTCTCTGGAGGCATCCATCTCTTCGACAGTCACAGTGGTATATTTGTCTTCGTCGATATATTCGGCTTCGTAGTCCACTGCAGGAGGCTCAGCGAATCCTTCCCATTCATCCTGCTCGTCTACATCGCCATTGCTGGAATCTGATTCTTCGTCACTGTCGCCGTTCTCTTCCCTCAGCCTTTTGAGCTGCCTCCGATGCTCTTCAAGTGCCCGCTCATATTCCGCAGCTCGCTCTTCACGGATCTGGATTGAATCAAGTCAGAATGCATTTACTCGTCGTCCAGGCCGTAGAACCAATGAGTACAAACCTTCTTCCGTTCTAATCTTTTCTCTTCTCGGGCTCTCTTTTCTGCAAGTTCCTGTGCATGTCGTATCCGCTGTTGTTTTCTCTTTCGAAATCCTGTAAGAAATTGCTGGCGATCGGCAGCGTCGAAATTGATCTCTTCGACTTTGGGCGTCAACTTGCGTTTTTTGGCTTGTGGCCCCATTTTTTCTGGTTAGTCCGAGGGTTGGTCTCAAGAAAAAGAATTAAAATGAGAGTAATACTCTGTATTCAATTAACAAGCTAAAAACAAATTTTCAAATCATGAAAAAAATGTAGGGAAAAAAAAGCTGTTGATAGTGGTTATTGCGGCCGTCAAAGCTAAGCCTCGTCGGTGGTTGGCTCGACCGCCTCCGAGCTCGTCGGCCAAGCCTCCAGGTTGGCTCTCAAGAAGCAACATCATCCTCAGTCTGCATTCTGCTCGCTTGCACATCAGTCAAATCACCACAATGCGTTTAGGAAGACTTACGCTGCTTGCTCTTGGAGCAGCGAGTGCGAATGCATTCCGGGATACATCTCCATTTTTCCTAGCTTCTACGTCCGAGTATGTTGCCCAGGAGCTACGTACACCTTCGGAGTCGCGGACCATACATGTCTGCATCCAGCTAACAAGCTCCTTCTAGGATACTCGCTACTTCATCAAATATTAAGGCCGCCACCGCTGTATTGGAGGATCTTAGTTCACAACTGAGCACTTGTCCATCGGATTACTATGTTATTGCGTCTCAGCCTGGTGTGCACAGCACCGATTTCGCGACCCGCAAGTCCGCGCCCCGCCTGGGCGCAAAGTTGATAGGGAAAGACAAAGCAATTCGATCCAGCGTGATCGTCAAGGAGGTTGCAGGTGTTTTGGAGGCGAAGCAGATTCAAAGTATTATCGAAAAGGAGTGCGGGGCACAGTCTACCGTGATCGATGCATCTTGTGAGTTCGGGATCCTTATAACCCATAGGGGCAGAAATTGACAAGACTACATAGCGAGCTCTTATCCATCTGAGTTCGGTTTGGAACCTCGCATTATCTATGTGGACTTTCCTACGCTCTCGCTGGGATCCGACCGAGCGCAGCAACTCTCAGACAATGGTTTGTGATCAATGCATTATATTTTGACATCGCATGTCCGTTCTGACGGATGACAAAGATGGCCTCCTTGCCGATATCATCGACCGAATCCCTTCTTCGAAGAAGTATACGCTTCTCTACGTGACATCGCCGAGGGAGTTTGAGGGATCTGAGGGTGTCATATATCAGCCCGAGGACAGTTACCAGGACCCTCTCCACATGGAGCTGAAGCGGGATTACTCAGCCCATGGAAGTCAAAGTGCTCCTGCATCTAATAAGTCTCTTTTCCAAGAGTACCAATACCTTACCCCAGGTACGTTCCCTGAAGGGTTTGTGCAAAGTTCTTGCGCAGTGACTGACCGCTTCTAGGTCTATTTATGGGCTTCCTTGCATCCTTTTTTTGCCTGATGATCTTATACGTTGGTATTCGAGCTCTTACGAGTCTTGAAGTTCCCTATGCGGCATTTGAAAAGGATACGGCTGCCAGTGTGCAGAAGAAACAGCAATGATCACTCATTGGCATTATTGAATAATGATCATTGCAGCGAACATAGTATTGGCTATCTTTGTCTCTTATACCATCTTTGAATTGACCTCAGTAGCTCCGCAACTTCCAACCGAAAGCTAACCCGGCATGCTGTATCAATGCAACAGGCCTTTATGTCATGTATATTTGTCCGTCCCAAATTCATTGGGAGTACCAAAATGGGCTACACTTAAAATCGGCTCTCGCGAAGCGTGGATGCATATGGGAAAGGATTCATCGAATTTGAATAAGTGAAATAGAAGATAGAGCAGGACAGTACGGAGTAGCTCAATAACTATATATAGGCGTCACGTGGATTACTCCGCCTCCACCCTCGACTTTGGCGCCTGAGGCAGAAGCCAGGCACGGGGTCAACGACCAGCCCAGCGAGGGCGCATCAATAATTTACGCCAGTAGTGAGACTAATCCAAAGCCTCATTTCCCTGGAAGTTTCTGAGCTGCATTTGTGCGGCTGTCCCTCGCTCTTCGTTGCCCTTCACATTCCAGTGTCCTCTCAATATCATTCTCCATCTTCAACGAGCGTTGTCGAAGTTGAATTGTTTAGCTCCAGACCACTCGGTACAGACTTACACCCTACAGCCTGCTGGAGAGGATTGCACCTCCTCTTGATTGATCGATTGCGCTTGTCTATGATCGCACGTACGACAGTCTCTATCAATGTGCTGAACAAGACGGTCCATTGTTTGGGATTCATACTCCTTGTCTGAAAGGAAACATTTACATACTCTCGCTTGGAGACTGCTTATCCCCCTCGACGATGAGATTCCTAAATGTGGGGCGTGCGAAGCCCCATCACTCCGTTACATTGCTTCTATTTCTCTTGATCGTCTTGTTGGCTCAACTGGCCTCTGCCCAAAAGAATACCAATACCGACGTCGCTGCAACTACTGCGCAAACGACCGAGGCCACGAAGGCCACAGATCCAACGACTACGGACGCGGGGAAGACCACCGATTCGAAATCGACGACCGATGCCAAAACTACAGATGCTACAACTACAGAAGCTTCGACGACTAGTAAAGCTTCAACAACCACGGAAGCTTCTACAACTACCGATGCAGCGACGACATCGACGGTCTCTGCCACAAACTTAGCGGGCTCGACTGCAACGTCTGCAACCTCTACAGACGGATACCCTGTGGTGACTGTGCCCCCGACAGCGGATGCGCCGTACATGCAGAAATCCAACACGCCCGAAGGGACGGTGTTCATTGCTGTAGGTGCAGCCCTGGGCCTGATTGGGCTCTCGGTGCTGGCATGGCGTGGGCTCGTCGCATGGTCGGTCAACCGATCCGTCCGCCGCGCCGCGTTGATGCACGCCTCGGAGAAGAAAGGACTCATTCGCTCAAAGAGAAAAAGATCATCAAGGCATTCTCGCGCGCTACCTGCAACCATGTCTCTCGAAAAGCTTCCTCCACACCACCGCAGCAGCTACAATCCAAGAGCATCCAATGTCCCCAGTACTGGTAGCGGTCTCTTCTTCTCGCCCACGGCAGGCGCCGGAATGCATACAAGCGGGAACAGAGGATCCAGCTACCTTCCGGCGGGCTACTATGCTGCAGGAAATGCTGCCCCCGGAGGAAGTCAGAACATCCCATACTCCACGCCAGAAATGCGACCGCACTCGCAGGGCTACATTCGCACCAAATCTAATCCGAGCCCCCCTAGGTCGCCGGATCTGCCGCCTAGCGGTCTACATGACACTCACTACGATACTCACACCAGGCATTCGTATGTCGCAGGCTCCACCAGCTCGTTGAACCTCGCCTCTCCTACCCAGGGAAGAACCCCCAGTGCGTTCCTGGAGGACCTCTTTGAAAGTCATGCCCCTCATTCGGACAACAGTCATAGATGATTGAGCCTTCGATGCGCGTTGAAATTTGCATTGCGTTCCTTCTTTCTCCTCCTTTCTCATCTCTTCCTATTTCGGTTTACAGCTTTGGAGCCATACATACAGGATCTCGTTTTATCATATACTTAAGTTAATATTCATGCCTCTATATGAATCACGCATGGCCATGCTCGTGGCATTCTATCTTCTGTTTGATTCTGACAAAGGAAATGACTGCAGATCGACTGAGTCAAAACAGATAGGCCTGTGATTGATTATGTACATTTCCTTTTTCCCTTCTCAATGTTTGATACTAGCCCTTTTTGTTAATGATAAGCCTGATAATTGTCTATATGCTCGCTGTGTTATTATTGCACACCAGAAAAAAAGACGCGAAAACGGGATTCAGAGGCCGCGGACGAGGACAACTCCAGAACGCTCTGATATATGATACAGACGAACAGGCTCGCGACGATGGTATTTACAAGCAACAAAGCCACCAAGAAGCGGGCATAACTCAAAATCAAGAAAGGTGAAGCATGGAGTGATATGTTGGAAGAGTCCGGTAGGCACAGGGCTCAAGTAGACACAGATTAGAAAACGCCAGCCATGCTTTGAAACATACAAGAAGTCGGAAAGGATGAAAACTCCTTTTCGGTCTAGCTTGGGAAAGAGTCATGTCATCGATAGGAAATAACCGTGAAGACCTGCGGACTTGTTTCAGTCGGCGTCCAATTTGCCGTTGAACTCGCCTAGAAGAATGTCATCCGTGGCCGGACCACGACTGTTTCTAACTGCAGATTGCGAATCAGTATCGAGCGACGACAGAATGGGATATGATGACTTACTCATTTCCGCTTCTGCTCGGAAAAAGACCCACATCCATCGTCTGGCGACTTCGAAAGCCATGAGCAGGAAGATACCGAACTCCTTCTCGCTAAGCCAGACAAAGCCCGGGAAGAATCGAGAAACCCACGAAAATCGAATGAGAAGGTCAGCAAGAATTGCGGCATAGTAGAGTCGATCAGAGAAGAATCGATGGCGGCGCAGGCCATAAGGACAGTCCGCATCGGCACGAGAAGGAGTGAAGAGGGTCAGATCCCAATCCTTGCTTACGTCCCAGTAAAAGGAGTAGGCAGAGTTGACGAAAGTGAAGAAAGCACTGAGATACGGCAATTGTTAGTTGTGATTTCTTCCGCTCTAAGCATGGAGCGAACTTGGGGTTATACATACAGCAGCCGGGAAAGGCTCATTTCGCTGAACCCATAAAACTCCAGAGGATTGTAGTTCCTAAGCTTGGCTGCAAGAATGATAACAGGGAATGCAGTGGCATATTTCAAGGCGTTTGCCAGGTGCTGTGCCCCCTTATTTTCCCCTCTTTGACCAGCCCGACGCACACGAAGATATTCAGTCAGACACTGCCGCAGTCGGATCATGCTGGGGACTGCGATAATGATGGGAACCATATAATCGTTTCCACAACTGCGATTCGGCTTAGAGGTGCTCGAAATATCCGCAGTGAAGAACATGCAGAATGTCACATAAAGGTCCCCCAAGACTTTGCTATAGCTGGTAAGGGCATCTGCCAGCAGTATGTCTCCAAATTTACCATCTTGAGCCTCCGCCAATCCCCCCACACTAATGCGCCGCAAAGTCCCAAGAAATCGACTTCGTCCGGACCGTGACAAACGGTTGGTGGGCAGAATGAGCAGGATGAAGAATATAAATAGATATGATTGCGGAATGAAGTCTAATGACTCCACTCGCTCAGCGGAGCCATGGGTAAACACCCAGAAGATAAGGAGGGAAAGCAGGAGGGGGGCCGTCAGAAGGGTAGCGAGCCGGTAAGTAGAAGTATGGTGAGGAGGTTGTTGAGGAGTTTGACGGGCGGGATAACGGACGAGGGCCGGTAGGTCCTGGAAACAGTAAGCATATTGCTCCTTGCGAGATTCTCTGTAGATGAGAGGGAATGGAGGGGCGCAACCCACGATATTCGCCCGAGAGAGATATTGAAGGTTGGCACCCCAACCCCAGAATCCTAAGCTATGGATTAATATTACATATCATTAACCGACCGGAGGCTGAAATACGTACCAGCAACCAGGATTACTGCAACCCGATAGGGGAAAGGGAGGAAAAGACTGAAGCCGTCCAGCTGAGCATGTTGATCAGGACCCATATTCCATCGAAAAAGCGGCGCCGCGACTCAGCACCTAAAAAGGAGATGCAACAAGATAAGGGTGAGAAGAACAAGCAGGATGTGATGGAGCAGAATAGTTTCCCATTTGACAAGAAAAGGACCAGAGCTAGAATTGAAGCAAAAGAGTGACTAGGGGTGAGATTCTTACTGCCAAAAATTAATGGTCATGGGCTGGACTAGACCACTTCTATGGAGATAGACAAGGAAGCTCAGGGACAGACGACGGTTTCGGCGGCTCCGCGCGGCTTCTAGTTTCGGAAACACCAGTCCTTTATAGACTTAGTGCGCTCTATGCTAGGGGTGAAATCCAAAAATGGAATCTTCTGCCCCACGTGAGCTGGAGATAACGTGATAAGAGTCACGTGCGTATTACCGAGGCATTTCGTGCTCATCGCCGAGTTGCGCTCCGCTTCATGGGGAAGAGATGAAGCACAATTTTAAGAGAATATTACGATGTTACTTGCCTGATTAATTCCTTACTCGTGATTATCTCGTTTTCCTGCTCTTTTCCCACAACGTCAGCCGTCAGTATGGCAGACGAAGATCTCAAACTCTCCTTATCTACTCCCACATCGTCTCCATCGACCCCGAGCTCCTCGGCGCATTTCTACCCCTTCGCAACGTCACCGGATATCATCCGCTCCCATGAAAAGGACGTCTTTCTAACTTCCAGCCTGGTCAATCAGGCACAAGCGATCATCCGTTCTCTCCGCGGTGCACGATTTGCTCATACATACTCGGATGCCATCAAACACCTGACCGAAATTCTATACTTCTCACTGACAACATTAATTGGCAACCGGACTCTGGGGGAGGAGTATTGTGACCTCGTGCAACTGGAAGATGATACGCTTCGGCTTCCTTCGATTTACCGAAGAGCGGGTTACATTCTGAGTAGCATCCTTGTACCGTGGGCGCTTCAGCGGATTCTTCCCGGGTTTCGCCAGCGATTACGCGCGAAATTGGAACGTAGCATCGCCCGGCAACAACTTAAAGCGCAGCAGAAGGCAGAGGAATTGAGGTTTACCAAGAAAAATACTTCGAAGAAGCAGTCTTTCTTCACAGCACTTCGAGTCCAGAAATACATTATCGAGCATCTCGACTCAATCACCTCGCTTTCACCTATTTACGCCCTAAGCATAGCGACCTTTTATTTCACTGGCTCCTACTACCACTTGTCGAAACGCTTTTGGGGACTGCGCTACGTGTTCACGAAAAAACTCGAGGAAAATGAACAGAGAGTCGGGTATGAGGTCTTGGGAGTTTTACTTGTCCTTCAGATCGCGGTACAAGGCATTCTGCACATTCGAAAAGTCGGTCTTAGTATGCAACAAGAGGGAGAGGGTATCGAGACCGAAGTGGCCGGTTCGAAGTCACAAGATGACTCCTTGATCCGCTCCATTCAGAACCCGTACAATCTCCCGCTTCTTCCTGCTTCTGCTGCTCGATTTGATCTTTCAGAAGACTCGAATGTTATTCCATGGATTCCTTCCGGGCAACAGAGCAAGTGCACGCTTTGCCTGGAATTTTACAAAGATCCCAGTGTCACAACATGTGGACATGTCTTCTGTTGGACGTGCGTTCGCGATTGGGTACGCGAGAAGCCCGAGTGTCCTCTCTGTCGACAAGAGGTACTACTATCTAAGGTTCTGCCGCTGAGGGGCTAAATGAATCTACAGTCGTTATGAGAATATCAATTTTCGGTGCAGATTTCCAATACGCCCCTGTAACTTCATAAAGCGTTAGCATTATGGCATCTTGGCAAGTTGACGGTTGACCAGCTTGTGACATATACCCACTGCTACTTTGGTTTTGACGTAAAATAGACTCAACATTTTGATATCGAAACGAAATCAATTGCACTCGCAAAGTCACGCTCCTTTTGCGTTTATATAACTTGCTTGACTTGGTAAAAGATGACCGGAAAGTAGGAAGGTATTTTCATAATGCAATAACGCTAAATAAATGCAACACAGGGGTATTCTTCTAACACAAGTCATATCAACAGACTACCCGAAATAATGTCGAACTCTAGGCTCAAAAATTCACATGGTACGTGCCAAGGATGTTATTTTAGGAGCATCGTCCTCGGTCTCAAGGCACACTGCCGGCTTGATGACCTGAGGTTCAACCGGTTTGTTGTTGGTGGTTTCAACATCAAGCTCTTCCGCTAGGCGAATTGGCAGATCCAGCTCAGCGTGTGCAGGTAGAGGGGGCATCGGAGTCAAGGCCCTGCGCTTGGCGTCCATAGTATTGAAAAGACAAAGACATGCATACGAGTCGGTTGCAGCATCTAGAGAGAAGCCCATTAATACTCTCGTCACAAAATGAGGTTCGAGAGGTACTTACACTGAACTTGACGGTAGTTTAGCGCAGCCGTCCAATCGCTGCATCGGACGTCATCATCCTTCGCTAGAGGTAGACCGAAGTGCTCTTCGACCTGCTCGCTCAGATTGACAGGTCTTTTGTTGATGAGTGTTGGGTCCGACTGGCAGTACTTGATCAACTTGTACAGATGGCTGAGTTCAAAAGTCCCTCGAGCGTTGATACCAAGAAAGTTCTTTAGGCGCGTACAGTCCCCTTTAATTGCTACTCCAGCTTTCGTGATGTTTGGTGATTCAAGAATCCTCTGTAGAGAAGGAGAAAGAAAGTCTTCCAGTGTTCTCGAAGGTTTGAACAGCGCAATTTGGAAGAGGGCAATTCGCTCCGCATTTGCAATCTGTATCAACGAGACGTTCTTTTGAACGCTGGCGGACTTGCTTGACTGCGGTTTCCATTCCATGTCGAAGCCTATTACATCATCATTCAGGAAGTGTTTTGCTACTTCCTCAGTTTTTTTAAGGGACTTGCAATAGTGCACGATGATGTCTTTCCCGCCTGGGGCCTTACGCAGCCGGTGGCTCCAAAACTTGGGGCCCGGAGAGACGGTCAAAGTAAGGGACTGTTGCGCAACTAAGAACTTCTCGCTTATTGCTGTCTCAGTCCGCGTTTCATCTCCAGTCTTGATGCTCCGGGAGACATCTGCCTTGCTGTACGACTGGCATTTGTCGGTATGACCAGAATTACCTTCGTGGTTGAAAGGACCAGCAATCGATTGCGGTATCGGGGCCTTGCTAGAGAAGCGCCTTGGCTGTTCGATGCAAAGATCCATTTTAAGCCTTCTCAGGCCAAATTCGTCAGGCCGTTTGGAAGGAAATCTTTGATCGCCTCCCGCAGTTTCTCTAGCGAGCGTTGAAAATGCATGTCTTCGCATATAGCTTTGCTTTTCATGCCAAAGCCCAGTCAACCAATGCGTGAAGTCCACGTCGTACTTCAAGCCATTATACTTTTTACCAACAGCCCTAGAAGCGAAGGCTGGACGCGTTCGCTCTGACTGCTGGGTCAAGTCGAGACATACACTAGGAAGGCCGAGGTGACTTTTTTGGCTCGAGAAAAATTTTCGGCTTAAGAGCGAAGTATCTGTTTGGGAACCTCTAGATGCAGCCCAGCATTTGGATATGCAGCTTTGAAATCTGAGGTCTGGTGTCCCGAGGCTTCCTGGGAAGCACGTTCCACACGGGCGTGTGAGGGATATCATACTGATCTCTGTTCTGCTGGCAATGTACCTGAATGCTAGGGCTAGTTAGATTATGGTAGTCTGCATGCTGATTATGTGCCGGCGCGAATGTTACACTAGCCAGCAAAACCGTGACCCAGGCTCTCGACACGATACTCAAAGTGGTCAGACTTGCTCAACTCGAGAAGACGAGCGAGACGAGCTCTCGGAGACCCTTGTGAGGGATTTACACGGTATCGTGCCTAGGCTGGCTGATCATTAGGCAAAGTCTCCCAGGGCTCGCTGTAGTAGCTAATCAGATAGTCGATCTTTTCATGCCTATAGGTATTCAGTGGCAGAGTCTGTAACTTTGTATAGATGTATCAAACCCGAGATAGGATGAGCGGAGAAGGATCGGCGATAGTTGTGATTGGGCTGAAATCCGGAACGGATAAACCTTCTCCCTTGCCCGCCAAGATCGTCTGGTGGAATGCTCAAAGATCCGCTTGAGGCTTCATTTTCTATACGACACATGACATTCAATACTAAGATTCTCTTCGCTATTGCATAGGTGGACTATTGTGTGTAAAGGTGCAGCTGTGACGAGAGTGCGCTAGTTTCTGATTATAGAACACTTAGAGCACCATGGCGTCCCAACTCCTTCCCTTGGGTAATTCTCATATCCATGTGTATACATAGACTTGTGCGATTAACAGGTTGGTAGAATTGATTGATAAGTGTGTGGGATCGAGAATCTGGGTTATCATGAAGGGTGACAAAGGTACGTGACTACAGTGGCTGCGACGACTATGCACTGACAAAATAAAGAATTCTCCGGCACACTGCTCGGATTTGACGACTACGTCAGTGAGTTATCTCGAGTGTCTCTGAGAGTCGTCTTAATAGATACTGATTTGTTGCAGATATGGTTCTGGAAGATGTGACTGAATTGTAGGTGAATGCTTTCATTCTTGTCATGCTGGCCTCGTACCCCCATCAGCTCTTCCAGAATCCCTCCTGTTATGTTTCAGCGTTTTAATGATGGCGCAAGCGTTAACATAACATAGCGATTACACTGGAGCACAGGTCAAGCTTCCTAAGATCCTGCTAAACGGGAACAATGTCTGCATGGTATGGACGCCGAAGTCCCTCTCTTGTCCTCGATCGCACGATTCTGACGTTGATTATCAGTTAATTCCTGGGGGCGAGGGACCTATTGGCAGCTCCTGATTTTATGATTTCCAGTTTTCTTTGATCAGTTTGATGAACATGGCTTGCAAATGACTGTCACAATGATATTGCATAGAACTTCACCTGAATAGCAAAAGTGTTGCCTTGTGCACAGCTGCAATCTCACTACATTCTTCACTTGGTTCATCCCAATACGATTTCGCATAGGCATGCTCCGCGAGCTTGAGGAGCGACGCTGATGCCGCTGAAGATCATGAGAACCGGACTAGGTACAGTCCAGGTTTGCAAGAGTTTGAGAAAACCCCGAGTAGAGAAAGGAGATAATCTTAACGGATGGTACAGAAGCAGTACAACCGTTGTCTGACGAGATGGAAGAGAGACTGACAGTTCCATCTCCCGAACGTGATTGACTTGGCTTTCTCGGGAAGATGCGATCATGCGAGGGGGTACAGCTGATGAGGCAGCGGGAAGCTGTACAGGCATGAATTCAGAACTAGGGAAAGTCAGTTTCTGGCCTGACAGCACTTTGACCGTGAGTCTGGACAGTGTCAGGGGCATGGCTGAAGTCTATGACTGTCATGACATCGAATTGAGCTATTTTCGTTCGTAACTCCAAGAACCACCCTAAGAAAACCATGACCGTGTGAAGCCGTTGACCCTTCAAACGAGCGGAGACTCGCCCGCATGATTGACATCGATGAGAATGGGGAACACTCGTCACTAGGTTACGGAAAACCTGGGGTAATTCATCTACGTACTCCTCTTGAAGTAAATCATGATTCATAGAGTACGGGGTAAAAGGTACAGAACTGATGGCTTCAAGGCAGTCCGACGAATAGCACGTCCTCGATATCCATCATGCCGTCAGTAATCGCTCGCGGATATTTTGAAGAGGCTCCATCCGCTGCTTTAATCGCTCGTAATCGGTTGGCGGCGGAGTCTTTCTTGAGCTTCGCGCAAACAAGCGGTGGAACGAGATCATTGGAGTGATTCCACTTGTTCCAGCCGGTGAGCCTTGACGTGCTCAGTTCTCTGCCCCAGATATTTTCCCCAGATCACAGTGTGGAATCTGTTACATAACAGGTTCCGCTATTCCCCGCGTTTTACACATCGCAACGGGGGCGAAGCGGCAAGTAGATAGGCAACATCCAAGCATGTGCGGAGGATCAAAGAGCGGATTACGAGACAACTTCCACCTTACCCATTATTCGTACTCCAATCATTGATCCAGAGCAGTAAAGGGGAGGAACGAGAAGGGGAAGCCAGCAATTCGCCATCATATGACATATTGAAGTCATGTCACCGGAGACCGGGAGGCATCATTGCGCGATTTAGGGCGGTTTGATCTTGTTTTGGGCGGGAGATTGATGCCCATTGCCGGTCGAGTTCCGGTCGTGCGTCCAATCCTAACCCATTGCGTTTCAACTACAATTTCTACTCATCCTTTAGACACTTTGTGTCACTCGATTCAGTAATAGAAATCCAATGTTGCGACAGTATAGCATATCACTATTAGCTATTGACAGCAGTCACGGCCAGTGCAGAGAATTATGACATTTGTGTAACCTTTTCTGACTTCTTCGATGCCACGAGGATTCCATGTGTCTTTGGGAACTCTTAATGTACTCACAATGAGAGCCATACGACTTATTGCACTTATCATGTGAACTGATTTCTCATCTTGTCCTGTGAAAGCGAAATGCCAGAAGCTCAGAACACCCTGCTGATGGCGAGAGTACTTCGTACACGCAGAGAGACGAACTGGATTCTGGAGGCTCGAGGCGTGAAGCTAACTTTTGTTCCTCTGGAATCCAGAAACGCCCGAAGGCTAATAACTGCGCTATCTACGCGCGATGTTACGGTAGCCGGTTCATCAACCATCTTCGTCACCAGTAATTGTCTTCGGCGCCGACCGTGTCAGCCACCAAGGCTTGGTAGATCCTTCAGAACTATTATGAATTTGCTTGCCACACAAAGAAGAATTTTGGTATAAAATCATGGCACTGGCAGACAAGGAGAGTTATATAGTGAGTTTGAACCAAAGTAGGGCACTGTTGCCCATCGAATCGAAAGGTAAGAAATGATCTATCATAGGTATTCGGTGGATACTTGCGGCAAAATGGTGGTAAGCAGTTAAGCACTTGGGAAAACCGTTGATGGGAGGAAAAAACCCGGGCTGTGGGTGTACTCTGGACCTCGGTCACCACGAGCATATCCGTGATCAATCGCACAGACAATAATAATGAAGACCAATGTCTAGTTGGTGGCTGAGGGCAATTTCCTGTCCAATCAAGATTCCTCTGATCCTCAGCTTTTCACCGTACTATCTTTCCATACCTATTCGAAGGTGCTGACAGGGAATAGTGGCCTGGGCTGCATAAGGAAGATCTAGGCAACAGGCTGCAATTCCAAATGGCCGACGGTTTCCGAAGCCATCGCATGTTACTTTGTAGGTACCAATCGAGAGAAAAGTGCCACCGGAAGTATCACTATTCATGCCATTCAGACTTCCTGTGACATTCGACCGTACCTGAATTGAATGCGTTGAAACCCTCGCCTCGAGAACTTTGAGCAAAGGGACTGAATCTCACAGCACATTGATTATATGCCAGATTGGGCCTAGAGCTCATGCGCCGGTGAGAACGATCGCATCTGCCCCTGCCACTTCATCGAGGATTCTACTGCGCTTCCGTGCATCTGGGAATCCCCTAGCACGATTGAGACAGACGAGTAGGAAGCACTCCAGGTTGAGTGTCAGAGCTCTAAGGCCTGCGTGGTGTGATAGCAGCAGTCAGGGATATGGTTTCGGGAAGCAACCACTGTCAGTTATCAGCCTTCTTCCTTAGACCTTCCAGAAGGAAAGTAGGCACATCACCTGAGCATGCTTGAAAACGTCTAAACACGAACAATACCTTATCTGCCTCAGCTGTGGCAATCAGTCCCGGGCATATCAGGATGATGATCTGACCATGGATCTGTAAAGTAGTCTCAAAGTCTGTAGCAGAAGCATACAGTACCTAATAGGCAAGCCCGGACGGAGAAATGAGTGGTCCAAAAGGGTCCGACACTGTTATCTACGGGGCTGGCAAGGGAATTTTTGATTGGCTACTGGGGAACATCGCGTGGAAGGACTGGTGCGGAGACTAAGTCCCAATGAGGCTTAGCGGGTTTCAAACTTTAGCAACGACGGCTTGTCCGGTGTAGGGGCCCCTCCTTTTCTGCTCCAGAAGGTGATATCGCCCTCATCAATAATCATGGACTCAATGGTTCACAAGCGATGTCGCCACCACCCCCGGCGAATGGCAGATTTGAGAATCGAGACAGCCTACCGTGAGTTGGCTCTTGGAGTTGGAAGGGCTGCTCACTATCTAGTATCCCGTCTACTTTACTTTTGTATAAGCGAAGGAATAATGAGGTAGTATTCT